AAAATCACCACCCGAAATTGTGTAAATGTAGGGTGATGATCTTGCATCTTACCCCGGGGGTGTTAAGAACCCCTTAGTTAGTAATAAGTAGGGCTGGGATTTATATGTAATAAATAACGAAAAATATGTACTTATATATGTAATTAAAATTGCCAAAATATATTGTAGTATAAAATAAAAAATATGTACTAAGAAAAATTGAAATACAATAAATGTTTGAGTAGTTGAAACACTTATATCACATGCATTGCAGTAAAGTACATTATTATCACTCGAAAAAGTTTCGTTGGGAAAATCACGGATAACATTTGAAATTTTAGTTGAAATAGATCGAGCTACTTAAGGCATTATTTACTAATTTATTATTAAGTCTTTAGTTTATAATTTAAAATTTATAACTCGAAATGTAAAGATGTTTTCACAACCATGTGAACACAAGAACTGATAGTCTGATAGGTACTGTTGTAAATTCGTAAATATATTTTGTCAAATAATTGTTGAACATTAAGGTATAGTCTAAAATCATTAAGGTATGGTTATTGAACAGATAAGATAAACTAAAATCAAGTTATTAATATTTATTTTAACCTACTTATTTCCTATATGCATTATACACTTACAATTTGCCGAGTACCGTTATCGAAATAAAATATAAAATATTACTAAACCACCAAAATTGTCAAAATTTACGAAGTATGTAAAAAAAAAATCGAAAATTTTACAAAGTATGTAAAAATATGTACTTATGACGAAATATGTAAAAATATGTAAAATAAAATATGTCTTATTTTATTGCAAATCACGTGAAACGAATTTATCATTTGCAATAATTAATTTATCGTGTTTCACTAAAAATATGTATTTACATACAAATCCCAGGCCTAGTAATAAGAATACACCAGGTAAGCAATTTCGATGCGGTAAAGCACGATTGAGCATAAAACGATTGAGCATAGACCTTTTTAGCAACACGATTGAGCATAGAATATTTTATGCGATGTTGCCAAATTCACGTTGCCAAAATTTTGTAATTTATTATTTTCACGTATTACGTATTACACCAATTATTATTATATCTGACGCGAGCCGTGAGCCGAGCTCCTCAGCTTTATCGACAATGTTATCGATAAATAAACTAGTTCCGTATCAAATATTTAGCATCGGGGGAAAATATAAGATAATTAAGATTCAATTCCAAAATTATTATAGAATTAATATCAGTGTTCGATCACCTATAGTCGTGTTTAGTGCGTTTCGTATAAGTGCGTTTATAGTTTCTATTTATAAATATTTTGATTTTATTATTTTCATAAGTCATAACTATTATTATTATTATTTTATTATTATCAAACAGATCTATGTACTATATTATATTTTGAATTATTATAATTATTTAAATACATTTTTTTTGTATAATACATTTCAAAATTAAAAAATGGCAACATTGCAGAGTTTTTTATGCTCAATCGTGTTGGTTTTCTTTTGTATTTCAATTTCCTTTGATGCGCCGACAATTTATGCTCAATCGTGTCGCAAAAAAGGTGTTTTATGCTCAATCGTGTCGTAGCCATTTCGATGTGTATGCGACATCCGTCGCCAGCATATTTTCTTAAGGCAGTCGTTCACAAACCGTAGTATTAACAAGACGTTTGTATTCCAGTGAAAAATTTAAGGTTATTCATTAAATAAATTAATAAGTAATTTAACAACCAAAACTGTATTTGTGATTTCTTTCCTCGAGAAGACTCACTACCAAACAAACAACCGAACCAAAAACTAAATTAGAACGGGATATAACACACCTATGTAATAACTGAGATCATGTTTTGATCAATCATCTTCATCTGTTTCGGGTAACTGATCAATAATAGTAGTTTTGAAAGGAAGACTTAAATACTCCTCATGGTAGACTTCTGGAATAGTTTTTTTGTCACATAATTTTTTCAAATCTTTGTACTTCTATGTTGAAATGGGAAGCTTTGATGTATATAGTTGTTTAGGTTTTGAAATATTTAACACTGAAGTTGCAGATATTTAGATTCAGATCAATCTGTTCTGATTATTTATGTTCACAGATAGAAGCTCTAAATAATTGTCTTCATTAAGTTTCAATGAATAAGCTATTTTAAAAACATCAGTGTTCTGTTTGGATAACTCAACTCTTTTTATTGACTTGAACCTAACAATAGCGTTATTTGAGTCCTTTAATTTTTGTTTTATAAACATGGCACTTGATACAGCACTCCAGTCCAAAAAATTAGTATGTTTAAAAATTATTGTGTTATAAGGACATTTATTCTGGAATTTCTTATGATAGTGGATCATTCAAATGGAGCCCAGACAGTTTTCTTTTTAATATTTTTGTCTATACATGCATGTACAGAATCGACTGGCATGTATGAATGACCTGGTAATAAATAGTTTATGGTTAAACACTTTATATTTTTCGAAGTAGAAAGAAAATGATGCAATATTGATAACATAAAATGATTTTTATTTTGGCCAGGACAACTATCACAATATAGGGCAACTTCTTGGAACAAACCTTTATCATCGATGCTTTTTATATAGTCATGTAAAATAGAACAAATTTCATTGGCTCCTCGTTTACTGTCAACTTCAGACCATAAGTAACAGTGACCAGCTTTGGTCTTACTTTCATAAATACTCAAATTGTAGTAAGCTAGTTTCTTTGAGTAAAATAACAACATGCTATTTCCCCATGGTGTATTTAAGACTTTTTGCAAATCAAAAGAACAACAAAGAAAACCATTTTGGCCACTTCTATCCCGGTCTTTCATGAACATTTTATTTGTATACTCTTTTTCTTCTATGTGCAATCGATAATTAATCCTATCTTCTTCACTTTTATTTTGCATATTCTTAAATGCCTCACAGAAGGTACACTTATCTTTTTTTGGTATATGAATTCCAATATTATATTCACTGTTCCACCTTTTTTTGAAAACTCCACTGGTAACACCTAAAATATTATTTAATTTACAATCTTCCAAATAAACCCTGTATACATGTTCTAAACTTTGGAAATCATTAGTTATGTATTTTTTATTGCTTGAACTTCTGCAATTATGTGATGGGACAGCTGGCAACGTTTTAATAAATTTATCAACATACTCCATTTGGATAAGTGGTGTGTTATTTTTTGAAGGTTGTCTACCTCTATTATCTGGCTTAGTAGAAAATAAGTCAGACTTATTATCTCGAGTATACCTTAGCAGCTTTTCAGATATATTCAATGTGTTTAGAATAAATTTTCTACAAACTTTTATTTTCACATTATCAATAACAACAGAGTAACTATAAGAACATGATCGGTTATTGGCATGGGAAACATAATTTCTTTTGACATCCTGCATATGCATACAACTATGTAGATAATCCCTTTTTCTATTATGATTAAATTCATTCCAATATCTAACAAAAATAACTATCCTCTCCTCCTCAGTTATGGTGGAACACTTCTTTAAACATTTTTTATCTAAACAAAAATTTGGTTTCATTTCCTTTTGTGCAACTAATTCAAAAGTGTTATCTTGCTTTATTTTTTTATAGCTTTTCCCCTTTTCTCTGTTTAATTTATTAACAAAACGATCATCTTTCTTTCTCTTTTTTTTCCCCAAAAACTTCTACTTCTGGACTTGGTTCATTGTCAGCAAATAAAACATTTCTATTTGTTATGGGATTAGTAATACAATTATTAACATTGTCATCATTGTCTAAATTACAATCAGTGTTATTATTATTAGTAAGGGAAACTGGCATAACAACATCTACTTCCAGACTTTCTTCATTATCAGGAGTTAAAACATAATATTCATCATTAGATGATATAGTAGTAGTAGTATGATAGTTTTCTACATTAGACTTTAAATTAACTGGCTCACGAGTATCATCATAATTGTTAAAATTATCAATATTATAATCAACAAAACTATTATTACCATTAAATTTAATTACATTGTCGTCAAGAATAATAAATTGATCAATACTTTTAATATACAAATTAAAATTGTAATTCTCAAGTTCACTTAAAAGTTTATTGTTGTCACTGTCAGGAGCATTCACTTTAATATTTGAACTAGCTTCTGATGTAACAGAACTATTAGGTGCAACTAATTATCGTAATATCTTCTTACTTCTTGAATTACTCATTTTTTCTGTTGTTAATATTGTTTAAAGCTTAATAAAACTAATGACCAAATAATTTTAAAAAAAAGTCTAGTATTTTGATGTGGTCAGTCAGTAGATTGAAATCCGAATAGTGAATTGATATAAGAACAACCCTACGCGAGTAGATACCACTATCATTATTATTATATTACCGCGAAAACTGTTAAGGTACGGTTTCCTATGTAGGACTAGCCGCATACGACTGAACGCAACGACTAGTCGCAATGACTGATTTTTGTTTAATTTATTAGTTATTTAACGCAATATAAAATAATTATGCCAAAAAAATATAATGTCAAAATTTTTGCCCAACGAGGACGAAATTTTAGTTGTTGAAGTAGAGAAAGAACGCGCTATTTATGACAGCTCTCTCGAAAAACACAAAGACTATGGATATTTAAATAAATGTTGGAACAATATTACAACTGTAGTTGGTAGATCATGTAAGTATATATAGATTAACAATTTTTAGAACATCACAAATATAATAGTTAAGGTTAAGCTCAGAATATATTCAGTGAATAAATATTTTAATTCATATTATATTATATATTTATTATAGCTGAGGATTGCAAATATCGATGGCGGAATATACGTGATACCTACATGAGGCACAAAAGAAAACTTGGTACTGGATCTCCGGCCATATTGTCCAAAAAAAAATGGCCTTTAGCTGGTCATTTGTCATTTTTGGATAATGTTGAGTATGAAAGAATGTAAGTAAATATATCAATTTCGTACTTTTATTCATAATTTTAAATTTTACTAGAGTTTTAATATTTTAGTACAGTATCAAATGTGTGCAATGATCAAGACTCGACAATAGTTGAAAGTAGCCAAGATACTTGCTCTTCTTTTTGACACTTAGCGAGTTCCGTCCATTTATGGTTCGCAGCTAAAAATCCTTTTTCCCTTTCCAGATTTTCAATATCCGTTTTCAAATTCTCAAATTTTGTAGACCAAAGATCTTTGGTTTTTAGTTCTATTAATTGCAATGCAAGTAGTCTGTTGTTGACAGATGGCAACGATGGAAAATTAATTTGTCCAGTCTCCGCTATGAGTGGTAATGTCAAGAACTTCAACGTAGATTTATATTTTCGAAAATCTTCAAAACGTCTACTAAACGAATTTTTCATGGATTGAATGGCCGATTTAAAATACTCCAAATCAATAATACAACCTGAGCTGTCCGTGTACTCTTTCAAAGATTCAAAATGATCAAAATTTCCGCTGTCAATATCTTCAGAAAAAAGCTTAAGTTGTTGTTCGAAAGAAAGAGCAGTTTCCAGAAGTGTATGTGCTGTATTTCCCTTATCTTGAAGCTTTTTATTTAAGTGATTTTGAGATGAAGTCAAATCTACAGCAAAATACAATTTTAGTAGCCACATATCATCGCACAATTCGGGGTAATTGATGCCTTTATTCGTTAAAAAATCTTTTATGGGTTCGAAACAATCTGTAAAGCGCTTTAAAACAGCCCCTCTCGATAACCAACGTACATTATTGAACATTAGAAGATCCTTGTATCGGGCATTAACTTCATCAAGTAATGCACGAAACTGTCTATGGTTCAGAGCTGAAGCTATGATTTTGTTAATAATTTTCACTACTAGTGCCATGACTTGGTTAATTTCAACTGGAAATGTTTGAGCACATAAAGCTTCTTGATGAACAATACAATGAAAAGATAGTAGTTCATGTTTCACATTTTGGCCAAATAGAGTAACAAATCTTTTATATTTACCGACCATATTTGGTGATCCATCAGTGCAAAGAGATATCAGCTTATCTAAATTGATTTTTTTCTCTTTACAAAATTCTGTAATTGCAGTGCAAATGTCCTCTCCTCGAGTTTGTCCTTTGAGCGGTAGTAAACCCAGTAATTCTTCATGAACACCAGTAGACGAAACATACCGTCCCATTAAAGTGAGTTGAGCGATGTTTTTAACGTCACCTGATTCATCACAAGCTAAGGAAAATACAGGTGATGACTTCAGATCGGAAAACTGTTGTTCTGTGACATTTTCAGCCATTCTAACAGCTCTATTACGAACAGTAGTTGCCGACAACGGAATATCCTTTATTTTATTGATTATTTCTGTTTTATTTTTAAATTCAGAAAAGAGATGTTCTGACATACCAATAAAACATTTTTTAATATATTCTCCATCAGTGAACGGTTTTCCAGATTTCATGATTTCGAGAGATACAACAAAACTAGCTGCAGTCAAATTAGACGCCGACTGCAACCAGTTATTAAATTTAGATGTCGATTGTTGAGATTTACGAATCAACTCGGCCACTGCTGTTTTTCTTTCATTTCCAGCTGGGTACATCTTACCAAAAGAATCGTGTTTAGATAAAAAATGATGTTCAATATTAGATTTTTTATTGTTTTTGAAGTTTTCGTCACAAATAAGACATTTTGGTTGTTCCATGTTGTTCGGGACAAATGCATAAGTATCAGTCCACTCACTTCTAAATCCTCTATTTTCCTCTTCAATTTTATGTTTTTTGTTTGTAGACATCTCGAAGTTTATAGAAATAACTCTATTGAAAAAAAGCACAAGAAAAAAATACCGAACAACGTCGCACTGATTGAATTGACCTGACGAGGACCGTGCTCACGTATCGACTAATATAATTTTGTATTCTACCCAATAATGATAGTCGATTGTAATAGAACACACACATATATATTATATACACAATAACACTAATTGTGCGATAAGATTAATAAATAACATCGAAAACATTCCCGACCCATGAAATAAAGATAAAATAGATAGAACATACACATACATATTATAAACACAATAAAACTGTGCGATAAGATTAATAAATAATTATTGAGAAATTTAGAATTATTATCGTTATAATAACGTATAATATAATTTATATTTTACGGATATATCTATATTGATAATTATCCAAAGAGCCGCAAGTTGCATGTTAAAGAGCTGCAGGTTCCCGACTCCTGTACTAGACCGTCAATAATATTACGCAATATTACGATTATTGAGCAATATTATTGATCGTGTAGGGCCGCTTTAATCGCGCCCTCTATCACGGCTCACGACGCGTAATGTTAGTAATACCATTGATTTTAGAATAGACGGATAGACAATGAAATAGGGATTTTCGGTGACTAAAATTTTATTTATAATAGCTGCCAATAGGTAGCGTTGTATGAATTAATATTATATTATTAACCTTCTATCGGTCGCGCGGTTTTTTTTTCACATTTGGTCGCGCAGGGTAATAATTTTCCAAAACGTATGTATTTTTTTAACAACTGTATTTATTTGTTTAAAATTATATGTATTGTTAAATTTTTACATTAAGTGCATTTTAATGGTTAGATACAAAATTATGTTTTTTAATTTTTTTTTTTTTTTATTAAAACAAAAAATTATAGAAGTGCATTTACATTATATTTAATATTAGTTTTTTCGTATTTTCTCGTTTTATATCATTACTTCACAGCAGCTTGGACACATTTCTATGAGATGATCACGGCAAATAAGTTTTGCACAATTTGTGCATACTTTTGTTGTCTTTCGGTCCTTATTTCTGTCACAAAAAGAACATCTACCTGATTTTCGAAACCGTTGAAATTCCTCTGTAGCATTTACACTAAATCCATATTTTACCATTTTAGTTTTTATTTCATTTGGTAATGATTTTATAGTGCAGCGGTATTCCATCTGCTCCTTCATCAATTCTCGAGATAAACATTTCAAAAAATCAAGACGTGTTTTTTTATTATGTAGACAGTTTTCTTGATATATTATTTGAGCATTGACACCTCCGATGTTTAGCATAGAATAAAATACTGTCAATGGCCACCGGAAACTTTTTCTAGCTACTGAATAATTTTCTGTCATGCGATCCATGTTATCGACAGCGCCTTTGGTGGCATTATATAAAGTAATTATTTCCGGCTTTCTTGCTTCATTTGTATTTTTATCGATTGCTTTATCAAAATGCATTGTTGAAAGAACTAAAACAATTTTATTTTTTTTTGGCATGTATGAAACCAACGTTTGATTTTTATTGAATGCAAAGTACGAAGATGTTATAATTCGGTGTTTTGTCTGAGTAAACTCGGGGGGGATTTGTCTTTTATTTTTCCGTAAAGTACCTAGTAGTGACAGTTTATGTGTCTTTTATAAATCGTTAGCTAACTCAACACTGGTAAACCAGTTGTCGGTTGTAACATTTCTACCAGTTTTCGAAATCGGTTGAATTAACCGTTTGACAACACTTGCGGCTCCATTATCAATTTTGAACGGCCCATCAGGTTGTGTACCAGCATATATTTCAAGATTTCCGGTGTAAAAATTTAAATTGTCGCAGAGTGCAAATATTTTAATTCCATATTTTGCTGGCTTACTCGGTATGTATTGACGAAATGAACATTTTCCACGGAACGCTTGTAATTTTTCATCAATGCAGGTATATTCCGACATGGAGTATGCTGTTTTACAACTGCTCACAAATATTTCAAATATTGTCCGTATATGTGTTATTTTATCAATTTTTTGTCGTTCACTTCGACCTCGAACGTCATCAAATCTAATGCAACGGAGTATAAAACGGAATCTTCGTTCTGACATTAAGCATGAAAATAGTTCTGCTCCTGTCCCATCATTTTTCCATAAATCCTCCGAACTTCGGTGTCCACATTTTATTGCACCTAAGTATATAAAGGTACATAAATTATCTAGTCGAAAAAAAACAGATAAATCAAATATAATATGATATAATTATAATTAGGTATATAAATAACATATAATATATATATACATATATATTATTATATTATTATATATTGTATAATAGAATCGTATTATATTATATAATAATTATTATGATACGTATTTACTATTTAGGTTATCACAAAAAAAAAAACTATATTATTTATAAAAACATAATATTATAATATTTACCTATCATATAAAGAATTCCAATGACAGCTTTTATTTCTGCAATATTTGTGTCAGAAGCATCTCTTTCCCTCGTAAAATTTGGTTGTATTTTTTCAATGTATACATTCGTACATTTGACTATGATTTCCAACATACATTTTGGAAAAAAAAAACATGCCATGAATCTACTATAGTTTTCGCTTGTCTCGCAGTTTCTTCTACACCTGATTTCTCAGTAACAACATTTTGTGCACATGTTCGTCTTATCTGAAGTGGTTTTTCACGGTTCCATTTAGTACCATCTTTACCAAAATACGAATTGACAAACCGCATAGCCAAAGGTAAATCGTCATCTGATTCATGATAACTTTTTTCATCAGAAACTTCAATATTATTACGTGCAATATCATTATCTTCATCCGAGTATCCCGACTGTTCAGTGTCCGTATCGTGATTTGAAACTTGTGATTGATCAGCATCTTCATTTTCATCACTAGAATGATCACCCCAGATTTCCTCATCACTAGCATCATCTAACATCTGTTGAATACGTCTACGTTGCAATTCTTCCATGTTGTTTGAAAAAAAAAATTATAATTACAATAATTGGTCGCACGGGGTAAAAAATTTCCAAACACGACACAATCGACTTTAGCGAACAGTTCAGGCCAACTGATTAAATATAACAAGTTCTTCTTTATCGTTACATGTAGATAAATATTATAACAACAGCTAAACAAAATATTAGGTAAGATTGTTATCTTGGGAATTTACTAATGAGGTCTATATTTAAACTGGGAGATTATTTACCCCGCGCGACCGATAGAAGGTTAATACTGAGTAGTGATGGGCGATTCGAATCGATCTTTTAAAAGATCGATCTTTTCATGCGATTAATCGATTTTAATCGACTCTGCTAGGTCCGATCTTATTTGCGTAGAATCGATTCGTTTTTGTAAATCGAATCGAATTGCTTGATCCCGATCTTTTGGCAGTGAATCGATCATTTTGTGAATATCGAATCGAATCGTTGCCCGTTGGACGTCCCATATCCGATCTTTATCGTGAATCGATCTATTATTCGAGTTTGATTAGATTTTTACAGTGTTGACAGCTCTCGTACCACCACAGGGTGTTGTCAACCTGTATTATTTCCGCGAGCACTGCTCTCCTCCGCGCACGATTGGTCGGTCGCAAGAGCACAAAACGAGCGACGACCTCGCTTCACTATCACTATTCACTCAACTCGAATCAATCATTATCATTACCTTTACTGCGCCGAGCCGCCGAGTGCCGACAACGAGACGTCTTCGAACTGATACTTTAGCTTTTCAATATTCGCACCCGCGATCGTTCGTTTTGTTGTTTACCTGCGTCACCGACGACTAGACTAAGTTGTGTCGCACGTGCACCCGTCACCGTCGTAATTTTATTTTGTATTTTCGCACCCGCGATCGTCTGTTTGTTGTTAACATGGCATCAAAACTAAAGCTGTTATTCTGACTTTTACGAAAATCAGATGATGGTGGCATATGCAAGCTGTGTCAACGTTCGTTAAACTAGTGGCAACACAACAAATTTAAACCACTTAAAAAGGAAAGATCCTCTATTAATTTGATGCCACCATACTAATTTTGTGTACAATTACGCTCACAAGTACAACAGACACAAATGACAGATCCTGTATGGTATTACGCAGATACCATTATGCTGAAGCTGATTTGGCAAATGAAATTATCAGTAAAGTAAGTGAAATTCATCACAATATTCTGTGTTCAATTCAAAACTAAAATTTGAACTTTACATTCTTAACCTTATGTTAAGGCTACTAAATGCAATCGAACTTCAAGCGTCCAACACTAGTTTCTCGTCCTCATTCTTCAATGACTTCAACCAGTTCAACCTGTTCCAATTCAGAGTTTCCGATTCTGTGATAAGTAGAACACGTTCACCATCAGTATGTAGCTCTGTCCAAAAGTCTCAAGCAGCCAAAATCTATCCAATCACTCAGATATTATAGATCATTTGGAGCGTAAGAATATATTTTTGAATTAAAATATAATATTATTTTGAAATTGCTTTAACTGTTTTAGTTGGAGGTCCCAAAACCACAGCAATAACTGATGCGATAGTGTACATGATTGCCAAAGACAACATGCCACTTTCCATAATCCGAGAAACCTTGCTTTATATATACTTTGTAATAAAGCAGCGCCATTATCAAGATTCCATCTAGAGCAATACAAAATTGAACGTGAAGTACAATGGT